TAACTTTTTCTACTGTCAGAAATTTTTTTATCGAAACCTGACTTCATATACCAAAATTTGATAATATTATTGGCTTGTGCAATCTTTTAATTAAGTCAAATATATAGAATGATGAATACCTTATTAATTTTAATACATTATTCTGGATTTATATCCTAAAATTAGAGTTTATTTTCGAGAAAAAAAAAAGTAAAAATAACTCATAAAACATAAATATTTAAGAATAAACTAACCTGCACATTAGTTGTTCTTCTTCTAATTGTAAATATTATGAAATATTGGTATTTATTTATATACGTAACATCCCAAAAATACAGCAATATATTATATAATAGAATAATTATAATTAATAATATTTCAGTTCAGTCTTACACTAAGAGAACGTACGCGCATGGCCGAACGGCCTTACGGAAAGAGTTACCATTTTAAACTATACAGCAGTACAAGTCTGACCGAACGGTTTACAAAAGGAACTACCGAACGGTCAAATATAAACAAAAGGGAAGGTGATCGAACGACCACCTTACTATGAAAACTAAACTCCTGACCGAACGTCCTATTGTTCCGTCTTTACTTCTACTTCTACCAAATTTTCTTCTTCCAGCGTATCTTCCAACAGCGCGTCCCCTTCTGCTTACATCCACACGGATGATCATTGCAACAACAAGACGAACGTACAAGACGAGACAACACAAGAAAAACACAGGGTAAGCTTATGTAATTTAATTCATACGTACACATACATTTCAAACAATCCAACACACCAGATAAATTTCATCATATGAATCATACAAAGCCTATCACTAGACTGACTGTCCGGACTGTATGAAATTTGTGTAGCTACAGGCGTTCGTGCACCCGGGTGATGTAGTAACTGGGATGCACTCAACAGTTGCCACCCGAGGTTAGCCCTATCTGTCCAAAGTACCCCTAAGGACTAGGACCTCCTGTCGTTCCCACACATGACCTACCCTCCTCTACGTGAAGACGAGTACCCACGGAACATCAGGATGAACAGCCAGCTTAGCATGCCCACAGTCATACTTTACCAATTTCAATATTCAAGCATGAGTCGTTCCTCCCCAGAACGCTCGTCCAAAAACCACAACCTTTCCATATCTCATTATCTTCATTTTTCTTTAATAATCATCTTACTTAACCATTTCACACCAAGACTCGTTCGGAGACCATTTACCGAACGTTCAACCCTGACTCAAAATGAGACTGACAATTTGGAGCGAGACCGAGGGCCTTCAATTCCATAATGAATTTAGACCAAGAGGTTTACTATCGGTTTGAGAAAGAAACGAAGTACAATCTAATATCACTACCAATGAATAGAACGAACGTAACTTGCAAAATGAGTCAATTAGATGAATTGACTCTTAAGAACTTTAACCGAGCATCTAAAAAGAAAACCATACTCAGCACTAAAGCTCTAGGCCGAAGCCAATAGACACAGACACTCCAAGAGATTCAAAGAATAATACGCAGAGGAATTCCCATGAATAAACCGAGCGTTTATGAGGACTTAAATAATTTAGATTTAATATTAAGAAATACGAATGTTAGTTAAAGACTGAACACTATAGGGAGCGAACCTTAGTGGTTTGAACGAACGCTAGTATTATAAAATTTTGTTTAAGAAGATAGAACGAGTGCCTGGTGCAAGACCAAACACTGGCTTAGGACGAACACTTGGTATAAGACCAGGAGCTACTAATCTTATAGAAAAGAGGTTTGATAATTATGCTAAGTTACTATGGAAGTAGTATTTAAGAATAGCCAAGATATACAATCTTATATATATATATATATATATATATATACATATATATATATATATATATATATA